GAGGGGAGGTCGGATGATGAGGATTACCATTGCGAAGAGAATGACCCAATTACATGTCAAAAACGGCCGCGTGCTTTGGCGTCGCATGCGCCGCCACAGCACGGCTAGACTGTATAGGTCCAAGTCCAGAATGGCATTTCCAATTTCGAGTCCGACGTGGTTGCCCGCGACTCCCCTCGGTACACTGCGATGCCCTGCGGAATCGGATCCCACGGCGGCGCCGTCCCACATTCATCCAACCGAGCCGTGACGTTGGTCAATGCCCGAGGTGGGATGGGCCTAGATTGAGTTGACCAGCGACGCATACGCGCACTGCTCGGAGCAACCGAGCTCGCCTCGGCAAAAATTGCGTTGTATTGTAATTCCAAGGTCTGAGGTCGAAGAGGGGGGACGAGGTGGAATTTCCCAGGTATGGGGTCGGCGAGGGGGGGGGGGAGGGGCCGATGGCCACGACTATTTGGCTGCCGCTGGCCCCAGCTGCGTTGCCCTGTGACTCCTCGGGGGGGGCGCTGCAACTCGTGGCTAACCTGGATGGCTTTCGAATTGGTGAAGAGTGGCACAATGACTGGTTTCGTCTTTTCCACAGCTGCCACAAAAAACACACACACACACACTTCAATGGCGATCTGGCCCCAGACGAGGTTCGAATCCTTCGAATCCTTTGCTAAAGGGGCCGACCAGAAGGGGGCAGAAGCATTGAGTCACGATTCAGATCAATCTTCGGGGTAAGGAACGCGTGCACTCCTGACCCGTTCACCGGATGTGAAACGCCGATATTGGCATTACCGCGGGGCGCCTTGTCGGCAGAAACCAACACGTGTGGTGGCAGACGCACAAAACACTATTGACCTTTATCAAGATTGGATGTTACCGTGGCCTTTGAAATCTGAAACTTTGGCGAAGACCCGCAATGCGCTTGCAACGGGCAATGGTGCGAGTTGTTAAGACAAACACGGTCCACGGCCAACCGAATTGCGCCCTCAGCTGCCTTGTGCTTCATATCCTTGAAGTCCTGGCGGCACCAGAGAAACAAACGGTGCGGCGGGGGAGGGCTGGGGTGGAGGAGGAGGACGGGGGAGGCCGATGAGGCACGCGATGGGGAGGGGGGCCAAGAGAAGGAAGAGGGGGAGGAGGAGAAAGAGGATGTGGAGGAGGCAGGGGACGAGGAGGGGGAGACAAGGCCGACGGGAAGGCCGAGAGAGAGCGGAATTGGACGGAGAGACAGTTTTCTTGACAGATGTTGCCGCATTCATTGCCACCGACATCTTGACTGGTGTTTTGAGTGCCGAGGAATCAGAGCTGACGAACAACTTGATTACACCATTTTTGCAATACTGCCTTGGGTTTGACAACATTGCCTTGGCCCAACCCGTCACGTACTCTGCGGCTTCATGAAGGGGTGGGCCTGCGAGGATACCCCAAGACGTGCCTTCAATTTTCCCGCTGAACTTAAGGCTTCCCTGAAACGACTGCAACTCATGAAGAACGTGCGCAGCATCCCCACCGCTCCATGGTTCAACGTATTTGCACATGTGCGATATATGGCCGCTCAACTCTGGATCGCTCATCTCGCCCTCTTGTGCGATCAAGGCTATTTAGCATCGCCAGACTTGATGATGTTTGATTTAGGCATTCCGTGTATGTTAAGCAGAACTGCAATCGACGAAACGACCTGGTGGGCGCCGTGCGTCTGGTTACTCGCATCCTGGATGACATCAGCGATGCCTGGCATAGCCTTGGCGCACCCGCGGCGTATAATGGTGCGCGGCATGCCCTTGTCTAACGGTCCCCTATATGAAGGGCAACTCGAAACCATTATTTCTCAAGATAACTTTCCATTACCGTCTGCAAGATCTGTCAATAACGTTTGACATTCATTCTCGACGGCTCTGATGCCCCCCCGTAGTGCGCGAACCTGCCAAGGTTAAGATCCTCATATCCTGCTAGCACATCCTGGCGACCATACCGTCGCTCAGATCCGAACGTTTCTTTTGAAATTTGAACTTCGCCTCGAATTCGTTTGGGTCAGGACTCACCTCCACAGCGCGCGCGCCTGCGGCGAACGCATAGCTCCAGCCCGCGCCGACAATCTTGCAGAGGAGCGCGTGCATGGAGTACCCGACGAGGCTTTGTCCCCTCTCGGCTCTCCGGGTGGCATCCTGAGGCGGTGCCCCGCCCCCTGGGGAGCGCCCCGCCCCGCTCCCCCGACTGCGGGGCAGGGCGGCGGGCGAGGGGCGCGGGGGGCCAAGACCGCGGGGGGGATGAGGGCTCCGACGGCGGGGCCGAGGAGAGAGAAGGAAGGGGCGAGCGCAGCAGAAAACGATGGGGCAGCAGTGCCGTTCAATGCCCGCGAGTCCTGCGTGTCTGGGCTCGACCCGCTCCACATGCTCGAGGTCGACCCGAGACATAGTCCCAACGATCATGTCGGCCGCTGCCGCCGTCTGTTTTTGTTCAACTCTCCTCTCTCCCATCTCAAGCAATGTTGGGTTCACTTCCGCAGCGGCCATCGCAAGGTGTTTGTCAAACCTGTCCGTCATACCAGTTGCACGCACCACTTGCCGTCCTCCGCAAAAACACAAGCCCCGAATCGCCTGAACACAACATGGCAATAGACCGCAGGTGTCAACGCCAAGTCCCGAGTAATGTTATTGCTATGGCCTTACGGCCAGTGCCGCCGACCCTGGAGGCCTCGGCCCTCGACGGAAGTGGGAGGGAGAGGGCGGGCCATGGGCCCCGGGAGGGTGGCATTCTGACTCGGGACCCCCCCTTGGGACCCCCTCCGGGACCCCCCCCCTTCGAGTAAACACCGACGTGGCTCAGATTGGCTTCCCCTCCGCGTCGCTGCCGCTCGCCTCCCCCGAAGGGAGCCGCCCGGGTGGCTCCCCCCCCGGGTATCCGGGTGGGACCCCCCCCCTCTCCCCCCCTCGGGGGGAAGGGATAAAAGGGAAGGGGCTTCCCTTCGGGGAACTGAGGTACGACGTTGCTCATATTGGCTTCCCCCTCGTGTCGCGGCCGCTCCCCTCCGCGTCGCGGCCGCTCCCCTCCCCCGAAGGGAGCCGCCCACGTGCCCCTCCCCCCCTCGGGGGGAAGGGATAAAAGGGAAGGGGCTTCCCTTCGAGTAAGCGACGACGTTGCTCAGATTGGCTTCCCCCCCGTGTCCGGGGAGGAGCAGATTGGCTTCCCCCAGGGATCGCGGCCGCTCCCCTCGCCCGGGGAGAGTCGACCGTTCCCCCTCTTGGAGCCGACGTGGCGGTGTCGTGGGCAGCTCCCCTCCCCCGAGGGGAACACAAAATGGCAATAGACAGACCGCAGGTGTCAACGCCAAGTCCAAGTAATGTTATTCACACGTCCTGTCAGCAAATCCTTACCATGCCATGCACGATGTAGGCAACACATATGTAACACATTAGATAGCACGTCTGAAATTGTTTACCTTGCGATGCACGATGCGGGAATCGTACATACAATACTTTGGATAGATAACTTCTCTGAGTTCAGTTAACTAGCTCAGCTAAGTACGATTAGCTAAATAGTATCGAGCGGAACCTATTTGGATAAGACCAAATACGTAACCATGAATTCGTGAATCATAATGCGGGATTATGGTAAGCAGGTTGTATAATATATGTATAACGCACGACACCGATATTTTCATCCACCTGGATTAAACAAAACCCATAACTATGTACTGCTTGACTAACTTAGGATAGACCTATAGTATCCAGGTTTTTTCCAGTATAATAGAATGTAAGAGCTTACGCGTGTGTTGCATCTCATCTCCAACCAGTTACATCCATGCTTTTCGGTTGAAGAAAGAGGGAGGGGGTCCAAGCTCGGCCCCGGGGCCCAAAGTGCATCTGGGGCGACAGTTTTTTTCCCTGGGGAAGCGGTCGGGGCCTCCCTGGGGCCACAGATGGATCAAATCATACTGTCGCGTGTCTTGGGACGGTTGGACGGCGTTGGGGCGCTCTTTGTGGTTCAGGGGAGGCAGATGTGCAGATACCTCCCTGCTCGTCCTGGACAGATCTCGGCGCCACGGCGGGGCTCTGCTCGGAGTTCTGGTCAACAAAACGCACTTCAACAGAGGTCCGGGGCGCAGCGGGAGCAGTAGCTTTCTGTTCTCCCAGGCCCCCTCGAGTCGTGGCGAAAATCATGACGGGAGGTTTTCGGCCATTGTTGGTCCACCAGGGGGCCTTCGCCAGGTCCCAGGAGCGTAAAACAAGAGAGCTCGGGATGAGAAACGGGTCCTGAGGAAAGGATCGAGACCTCCGGGATCCACGTTGTGAAACAATCATCGGGAACTGGAACATATACACTACCAGTGGCGGGTTGTTTTTCAATCCCAGGGCTTTTTGAGGGTCGGTGCGGTCAGTGTGGCAAGTATTCGAGAGGGGTTGCCCAGACCTCTTTCTTCTAGGCCTCCTAGATGGGGTCGGAGTAGATGGGGTCGGAAAATCGCGCCGCATCGCCGATGCATCGCCGATGCGGCTCGTTGTGGAACCCGATTTGCTTCACGTCGACGGTGCCGATGCATCGCCGACGTCGCCGATGCATCGCCGATGCATCGCCGATGCATCGCCGATGCGGCGCGATCCTCCTTCCCAATCTACTCCGACTCCATCTAGGAGGCCTCTAATTCAAGGGGGGTTACCAAGACCTCCATTCTGGTGGGAGAGAGCTCCCGTGGGTCTGGACTCCCCAGCGGTGTCCGAATCCGCCGGGTCGCCCAGTGGGTCTGGTGCGGTCAGACTGGCAAGTATTCAAGAGGGGTAGCTCAGACTCCTTTTCTGGCGGCTGGGAGAGATGATGGGCCAATTCTCCACCACCACTACCATAAGTAGGACGGGGGAGAAGAGAGGATGGGGAGGTCCTCCTGCTCCTCCTCCTCCTCCTGCTCCATCTCCTACCTATGGTAGTGGTGGTAGTGGAAAAGCGGCCCATCAAGAGAGACCCCGTGGGTCTGGACTCCCCAGCGGTGTCCAAACCCGCTAGGTCGCCCAATGGGTTTGGTGCGGTTAGTCTGGCAGGCATTCGAGAGAGGGATTGCCAAGGCCTTTTCTGGCGGCTGGGAGAGATCGCGCCGCGGAGTATTCCTGGTCCGCACGCAGTCTTGGGCGTGTGTCATGGGACCGTTTCGGGAGGCCCGCGACGCCGAAGATAGCTCCCTCTCTCCCTCTCCCTCTCTCTCTCTCTCTTCCTGTCTTCCTCTCTCTTTCACTCTCTTTCCTCGTCCCGAGCCCCCCGATGCTTCTATCAGGCGCAGGGGGCTTGCAGGCATCCAGATGGCCCACGTCTTGAATGACACCTGGAAGCTCGACCGCATAAAGGAGAGTGCCTTCGCCACGGGCGTGCAGATCGATTGGCTGAGGATCGGCAACCGCATGCGAACCCCACTTCTGCGGGCCAGATGTCCGGAAACACCAGCAGCGGGGAAGGTTGAATTGTGTGCCCAAGTGTTGCTTGGGCCGGCAGGGGGCGAGATTTGCATGTGGTTGCGAACAGGAGCATTTGGCCCGGGGTGATCTGCAAGGAGCACCCCGAGATTGTGCAGCGCAGTGTTGAGAAAGGCTACATCCTGGACCCCAGAGGGCGGGGCCTCGGGGACGTCGGTGCAGCTCTCGCGCACATAACTCTCTGGGAGCAGATAGCGCGGCAAGTGGGCCCGAGCGACATCGTTTTAGCAATGGAGGACAATGCGCTCTTTACGACCGAGTCGTTGAACGGAACGTGTTCGGCAATCGCTGCAGTGGGCGACTTCGACTACTTGGCTCTGACGGTCCTGAGGCCACGTGGCACACGGGTCGACGATGATCTCGGGATTCGAGAAGTGAGAAAGGGGTGGGTAGGTGAGCCGCTCCCCAATGTGTGGATGTCTAGTTATTTGGTGACGGGCGCGGGCGCCGCCAAGTTGTTGAAGTGTCTGAAGGCCAACCCGCACAATTTCGCCCAGAACATAATCGACCACGTTGTGTCGAAGCAGTGTCTGTCTGGAGACGAGGGCATCCGAGCCTTTGTGGTCGACCACCACCGTTTCTTTGGCCACGAGGAGACGGGTGGCGACTCGCGGAAGAAGTTCAACCTAGACGCAGCATTGCACCCGAAAAGTTTATCTCTGATGTGGTAGCTGACTCAGAAGGAAGACGCTGTACCACCCCTTCAACATGGGCCACGTCGACGCGTTCTAAAAAAACAGTCGAAGGGCGACGAGTTGCTGTAATACCATATTGCAACGCTCTCACAAGCAAGAGCTAGGGTCCGCGCGGAAGAGCCAATTGAGCTTCCGACGCAACGCTCGTCCCCAACAACGTAGATGCACGACCCTGCCAAAGGTTGCAGCCTTCAAATAATTTGGAATTCTGAGCGCTGCAGCCTGTCGTGGCGACGAGGACAGACCTCAAAACGAGTCATTGACTCTCTCTCGCCTCGCGCCCTGCTCCGGGATGCCTCGCCTCGTCTGAAGGCTGGACTCGCAGCGCGCGCTTGGTCGGATGGCTCCCCCCAGAGCACGCGCGCGTGCTTCCTGATCTCCGCCCCGTGCGGTCGGAATGTCGCAGTACTTAGGGTCAAGGCGTGGTTTTGCGATGGGCCCCATGCTCCCGAGGCTCTCGCGTAGGTCCTCTTCTCCGCTTCTCGTGCACCTGGGCGCAGCTGAGGCCCCCAACGGGGTGCCGTTCCCGACTCCGTGTCTCTTGAGGCACGGCTCAGACGGCCAGCTCAGACGGCAGTGCAGTCGAGGCTGATCCGTAGGTCGACCTTGCCAAATCAGGGGCCCCCTTGTGTCCTGTGTTCCGCGACCCACACCTTCCTGTGGCAATGTGGGCCTCGGAAGGGTCCTGTGCCCTCTCGCGTGTCCTTTCCAATCAGCCTCGGCTGTGGTGTTTTTCTGATGTGTGGCCTCCCAGAGCTCTCGACCAGTTCACCAGGGGACGGGTGTTCCGTCGCAGCAGTTTGCACCATTCGCGAAGGCGCCTGCTGCGAATCACCGCCGTTGCTCTGCCTCTGGACGCGCCCTATGTGGCCGAACGTTGCGGCCAGAGCTCTGCCAAGCTACTCCAGATTTCGTAATAAAAGGGAGGGGGTCTCAACCCTCCCAGACGAGAAATGTTAGACCCTCCCAGACCATCCATGAAAGGGCGGCCCTTTGCCCAGACCCCCCCGAACCCTGCAAGACAGCTCAAATCAGACCCCCCCGCCAAATGTGACCCCCCCTACTTTATTATGGAATCCGGAGTATCAGATTATGTGCTCCCCCAGCCGTGGATTTCTCTTCGGGTTTTCTTGGAGGCTCTCTCGGAGGCCAATGGGGGGCCATGGACCGTCTTGGGCTATCTTGGGGCCATCTTGGGTGCATCTTGGACTGTCTTGGAGACATCTTGCTGAAATCTTGGGGTCATCGGAGGCATTTTCGAGGCCATCTTCAGCCATCTTGGCAGTCTTGAAGCGGGAAGACCCATGACCTGGGAATTTTACGGGTCCTTCTTGGGCCCTTTGGAGGACATCTTGCGGATTTGGGCCTCCTGGGAGCATATCGGGGGCCGGCCATCTTGGGGCGGAGGGCTCACAATTGTTGTTCGTGCTCCCCCTCTTGGGGCGGTCTTGGGGGCCTCTGGGAGCCCTCTTGGGGGGCTCTTGAGCGGTTTGCGGGCGATCTTGGGCCTCTCTCGAGCCGTCTTGGATGCTCTGAAGGCCGAAAACGGTGGTAATGAGTCGCCCATGCGAAAGCACATGGATTTTGTCAATTTTGGCTTCTTTGGCCGCCCTCCACGGCCTCAAAGACGGCCCAGGAGGCGCCCAAGAGGGCTCTAGGACGGTCCTCGGGTCCATCTCAGGCAGTGTTGGACATGCATGTCCCGAACAAGGCAACGCGCCCATGGCCACTGGAAAAGTCGCGCGAGCAACCCAAAGGAGCGCCGAGGAGCGCACGGAACCCTGGGCTGCGCCCATCAAGCATATCAAGTTACAGCATTTCAACAGAGTGAGGAGGCCGAAGTGTCGTTCATCGTCAATGGGTGCGTGGCAGAAGTGGCGTTCCGTCCGGCGGAGTCTGCTCGTTGTGTTGTTGCGTTGTTGTTGTTGTCTTCGCCCGCGACCCGCCCACGACCCACCCACGACCCACCCCGCGATCCACTCCCGCGACCCACCCGCGACCCACCCCGCGACCGCCCCCTCGCTCCGATCCCCAATCGCGGGGTGCTACGCGCAGAGAAGTCGAAGAGACCTGCGGACACTCCAACTCGTGCCTCAGGGCACGGTGGCAGGTACTTCGGGCCAGCACACGGCCCCTGGAGACTGAATTCTGGAGAGAATGCCCGCTCTGAAAAATAAGCACGACGTCGGAGCCAAGGGTATATGCACCATCCCGCCACCTGGCTTGTGTCGTGAACCAGAGATCAATTGGAGGGCTCTTTGGGGGCTTCTTGGGGGGCTCGTGGATGCATCTTCGTTGCCTCTTGGAAGTCTCTTGACGCCTCCTGGCGGCCTCTTGGTAGCCTCCGGGGCCTCTAGGGGGACAGTCTGCTGGTCGTTTCGGAGTACATCTTTGGGGGGGCTCCTGGAGCTCCTTCGAAACTATGTGAGGTGGCGTGCAGCCACCCCTCCCCAGCGACGGCACTGGCAGTCGATTCGAGCATACGGAGAACCATCTGCGCGCAACTCGTGAGGTTTCTGCTCCCCCGCCCATGCTCGCCTGGGTCGGGCGACGCGCGCCCGAAAGGCGACTGCCAGGACGACCCGTCGGCCGAACTCGGCGCGATCTCCACCCAGGATTTGGAGGACCGCTCGCGCACGGCGCCCTCGCCGTCCCCGTCGTCGTCGACGTCGTCGTCGTCGTCGTGGTCGTCTCCCTCGTCGCCGTCGTCATCGTTGTCGCCGCCGCTGCTCCCCTGGATATGCCCTCTTGAACTTCTCTGGGGGTTCCTTTGGGATCCTCTTGGCTCTTTGCCGCGCTGGGGTATCTCGGGCCACGCGGGCCTTCTGTGGGCCCGCTGGGGCAGTACATGCAAGCTCAAGGCGAAAGTGGCTGGAGGCAGAAAACACTTGATCGCACCCCGGCGGCAGCAGACTATGAGCAGCATAAGTAAGGAGTGCGTAATTAGAGTATTAGGCTGCACTGCACACGCGGGAGACCATACGCGGGAGACCACGGGCCAGGGCCACAGAATTTGGGCCTTGATGAGTTCGCATCCAGCATCATACCATATTGTTGTCTTCTGTCGTTGGGCCCATCCCGCCACCGTGCCTGGTTTGTGGGTCAGAGTCCCCACGGATGCTTCTGGAGGTCTCTTCGGAGGGCTCTCGGGGGCCTCTGGAGGGCAGTTTTGACGCCTCTTGGGAGTCTCTTGGGAGTCCTTTGGGAGTCTCTTTGGGGGCATCCTTGGGGCCTCTTGGGGGCCTCCTGGGGGCCTGAGGGCGGAGAGCTCGAACAGTCGGTTCGTGTTCCCCCTCCGGGAGCCTCTTGGGGCGTTCTTGGAGCTTTCTTCAGCCGTCTTTGAGGTGTCTTGGGCCGTCTTGGTTGCTTCTTCGGCTGTCTCGGCACCCTCTCGGGGACCGCTGGGGCCGTCTTGGGGCGATCTTGGGGGCTTCTTGTGCCGTCTTGGACAGTCGGGAACCCGAGACGGCGGAAACGCCCAAATGTTTCAATATCGTACGACAAATCATTGAATTGTGCCTCTCTTGGAGCTTTCTTGGGCGGTCTGGAGGCTATCTTAGGCGTCTGCGAGCGATATTTGAAGAGACGGTCCCCGCGTGCCTCCCTCCTTCCTTCGTCCCCCTCCTCCCTCCTCCCTGCGTTTCACCCACTCAGTACAGCGCTTCGTGGCCACATAGGAGCTCCACCGAAGCCCCCAGTGGGACCGCCCGCATGCGTCCCGGAAACCCAATTTGGCATTTCCACTCGGGAGTTCCTCCGAAGCCCCCCAGTGGGACCGCCCGCATGCGTCCCAGAAACCCAATTTGGCATTTTCACCCACCCAGTACTGCGTTTCGTGGCCCCGTAGGGAGCTCCACCGAAGCCCCCAGTGGGACCGCACGCATGCGTCCCGGAAACCCAATCCCTGCAAGGCATCTTAGCGTATCTATGATCGGCCCGTTCTCCTTTTTGGAGTTGCTGCATTTCAGGATGCCCCAATCAGTATCTAAAAACGGTGCTGGGGGCATTATTTGTGTTGCCAAACTTCTGTATGAAATTAGATGCGTTTAGATATGTGTAGATTATCTATGATTATTTGATGTGTTTGGGTGCGAATGGATACTTTTTAGATATGATGAGATATGGACATCCTAATTCATCCAGGTATTTAGAGACGCTGTGATTTTTGATACGTATGGATACGTTTACATATGTTTGGGTACGACGGCTACGAACACACTGATTCGGAACTTCCAGTTGATATACATGGATACGTTTAGATACGGTGCCTTTTCATTGACTCCCTCGTGAGCTCATCGTCAATTCTCACGCTTCGTTTCCCTTTCCGCTCTTTCCTCGCCGGGCTTCGCTATGCAATGTCCACCTTGCTTATCGCAAGACATTATATCATCAACCATCGTCGCTTCCCCTCTCCTTTCATCACTACTCGTCGTCAGCCTCCCATCCTCCTTCTCTGTGTTCCTCACTTTCGTCCTCCCCTATCATCTTCCTCTCCGTCACTCGCCATGCATCATCAATCGTCATTGTTCTCTAGTCCCCTCCTCGATGCGATTCCGCTTCCTCCTGGCTCCATATCTCTTGCATTTCTCATTCTAAGTCCAGCGTGCATTATCCTAGCACTCTTTTTTCTCAGTACTCATCGTCAAAAGTCCTCGTCTTGCTCCTCCTCCTGCTCCGCATCCGCCTTCGTTTCCCTTTCATCCTCCTGCTCCGAGACCCTCTCTATACTTCCTCCGTCGATGCTCATATTGTAGTGGCCTCCGGCCAGTGCCGCCGATCCGGGGCGCTTCGGATGATGATGATGATGATGATGATGATGATGATGATGATGATGATGATGATGATGATGCTGATGCTGATGCTGATGCTGCTGCTGCTGCTGCTGCTGCTGCTGATGCTGCTGATGATGATGATGATGCTGATGATGGTGATGTGACGATGGTGATGGTGATGGTGATGGAGATGGTGATGATCCC